CCACTCCATCCCCCACAGCAATTTCCTCCTGTACCACTATCCCCTCCCTCCTAGATTGTAAGCTCCAAGGAGCAGGGCCCTCCAACCCCTCGTGTATTGTTACTGTATTGTCTCATGTACTGTCCCCCCCACTATATTGTACAGTGCTGAGTAAACTTTTTGGTGCTATATAAATACTGTATAATAATAATAATTTTTACAGCGCTGCTGTTTTTGGCTTTTGGCATTTTTTTTTTTTCTTACAGCCAGTAAACTCCCCAGAATGTTATCCTATGTGTCCGTGCGCACATAGACTGTAATCAACGTTTTTTGGCAGGGCGTTTTTGGGCTGGCAAAACCTCCCAGAACTAGTGGGTTTCTAGAGAAATTTTTTTTTGCATTAAAAACACAGTAAAAACGCGGCAAACCGGTGTGTTTTGACTTTTTGAGCAAAAAAAAATTATTTTTTTCATGGTAAAAAAACAACCGTGAAAAAACGCTGAGAAACTCACGTCTTTAATGTGACTTCATCACCACTAACGTTACCAGTGTTATTAAAACGCCCAGTATGCATGGAGCCTTAAACTATAGATGTTTGCACCAAGTTCTGTTTACATATAAAAATGTTTTTTTCCTCCATAGACCTGGATTTGCCTCTGTATGTTTACACAATAGCGTGTAAGTTGCACACATTGTCTGGCTGGCTTTTATGGGTGTTAATGTCTCAGCAACAAAGGAGTATACAGAGGAATTGCTGGCAATGGCGTGCTTGTTGACACCAAGGTGTCTGATATCTGAAGATTACAATCTACGCATAAGAACATATGCACATATTTATACTAGCATATGTGAGTGTTTATTGCTGGGCTGCCCTCTGTGTCTGGCATGTGTTCAGTTTGGAGAAGAGAGCAGTTCAAGCTGATTGCTTCTGGATAGTAATATTGTACATGAGCAACAGTATTTGATAGTGTGTGCAAAATGTAGTTGTGTTATATTGCGTGCGTGTTCCTGTGATCTATTCATGAGACTTGATTTATAACCGCTATAAAAGTATAGTAAAACTCAAAAATGAAAGCCGAGTCTGTTCACATAACTAGTTTATATTTATTTGTGCATTCATGCTGTCTTTGTACCATCGGATGATTTTTCAGCTCCCTGTTCTGGAGAGAAGGCAGCATTTTTAAATTTTTCTCACTTTTATTCCTCCATGACAGTGGTCACCAGGACAAATAGAGAGAATGTGCCCAGTGGGGATAGAAACCAAGAGCAATAAAACCTGGCCAAGGTTCCTAATGCAGACCATTCAGTCTCAAACTAAAAAAAAGGTTTCTTACTTTTATTGTAGCTGGGTTGGATTTGTTTTTACTTGAGAATTACACCATGTTCACAGCCCATGGATACTTTTACAGCATACTAATTAGTTCTGGCCAAACAATTTTGTTGAAAAAAACATGTGATCTATCTACATCGCAGTTTTAACAAGCTTTGTTGCAGATTCCTACCTTTTGTTGTTCTGAGAAAATAGCTGTTTGTCTGTGTCCGTGTGTAGACTAATGCAGGCCATAGATGGGTCGAAAATCGGCCGATTTTTTTCGGCCGAAAAATAAAATCGGCCGATTTTCGGATCGTTAGTGGGCGATTTGGTCGGCTGTTTTTCGGGATTTTGGCCGGTTTTTTTTTTGGTAAAGTTGGAAAAAAATCGGCCGATCGGCTCTCTGCAGGGACACTTTTTGCCAGCTGTAGAAGGGATGAAAATCGGCCGATTTTTTTTTTTTTACCATTGATGGTAACGTCGGCCGCTTGAACGACCGAATTTTCGTTTTTTAAAAAAGAAAAATCTGCCGTTTTTTCTCCCCATCTATGGCCTGCATAAGGCTCCATACACACGGGGTGTTTTAATAACGATAGCTGTGTAAAGTCACATGATAGCGGTGTAAAGTGTAAACGTGAGTTTTTCAGCAGTTTTAGCGTTTTTGCATTCGCGTTTAGCGCCGTTTTGCTGTGTTTTTTCGCGTTTGCTATTTTGCATTTTTTTAGGCCAAAAAACATTATTTTGTTTGGTCACAAAAAGTCCATAAATGCTGGTTTGCCATGATTTACAGCATTTTACTGCATTTTGCCACGTTTTTCAGCGTTAGAGCATTTTTACAACTAAAAAACTCCTCTAGAAACCCACTAGTTGTGTGTTTTTTCCAGCCAAAAAAAAGTCCCTGCCAAAAAACGCTGATTACAGTCTGTGTGCATGGACACATCAGATAACACGCTGGGGAGTTTACTGGCTGTAGAAAAAAACGTCAAAAGCCAAAAACAGCTTCTGTAAAAACATCCAGTGTGCAGGAGGACTTAATCTATGGGAGTGGATTTATATTTATCAAGCACCTGCAGGGCTCTAATGAGGAAAGTGGCAGGGTCTGCTTCCCTTTTTAGAGGTGATTTCCCTTTGAGAGTATCACACCAAAATTAAATCTTTGTTGCAGGGGATGCTCAAAATCTGACTTGCATCTTAGTGCAAACTTCTAGGAAAATCAGTCATTTCTAGGGGCATTCTATACAATATCTTTGTACTGCATGCCTCCAGGTAACCATATTTCATAGCATTTTACAGAAAATGACAGCGCTGCAGATTGAAAAGGAAAGGTAATTTTTAATGACATTTTAATTACAATTTGACTTTTGTCGGAGATATATATATATATTTGCTTTTTTTTTTTTACAAGAGTGGAGTTGCCCTTTAAGTTCAATTCCTTTCAAACGGAATAAATAGAGATGAATACATATGACGACTTGTGTCTGTTGGTAGTTGTGGAACATGGAACACTTATTGGTAGACATTATGTCATGAGTTCATTGCTGCAGGCGTTATTTGTTCACAGGTTTTAAGGCTGGCTACAGTATATTATGACAGAAAAGAGAGTTGTTTAGGCTTCTTGAGGATATCCTTAATTTTGTTTATTTAATAATGCTTGACATGAAGTATAATTACATCTGAGCATACGTTTACTTTTCTGCCATACAGTACTACACTATGTTGTAGCAGATTGATACCAAAGTTCATCAAAAGCATTGTGATTAGTTTGTTATAATTTAGCAATTTCACTGGAGAATACAGGTTTTTATCTCCTTCAGATATGCTGCTTTGTCCTGCTTCACCTAGTGATACGGCCTGTAACACACTTCCTGCTTAAAGCTGGCCACACAAATCAAATTGTCTTCTTCTGCAGGGAATTTTGATCAGTCTCAATCTACTTCTTTCAAAGGGACGTGGTAAAATTTTCCTCAATCAGTAACTTCAGCCAATTCGCTTTATCTGCTGATCAGTGTATTCTGAAATCAGCAGGTGCTGTTGTCAGAATACAATATCCTGTGATGGTGGAGGTGAACAGGATCAGCCAGGCCTTGCTGGGCAATGTCCTGCAATTTCCTTGGAGTTTTCAGGTCTGGCTTCATGAGGTATGTAAAAGGCTTACACCTATAGCAAGGGCAATTATTCAACTTTAGTTAAAACTGCAGTTTGTTTTTATCTACAGATGCCCCTTATCTGCACAGGCAGTTTTTTGGTAACGATAAATGAACCCTTTAAGGAACCATTCCTCAATATCTAGAGACCCATAGGCTGCATAGCTATGTGTATAACGTTCTTGTAAAAATGTGTCTGGTGCTGGCTTCTGTACAGCCTACATTTCAAATATTCATTAATACAGTGACTGTTGTGACATGCTAGAGATTGGAAAAGGGAGTTGCCTCTTGCTATACAAGTGGCAGCTGTTGTTTTTATCTCCCCCTTCCTTAACAGCTGTGTGCATTTATGAAGAACAGTTCAAACAGTCTGTGACTAGTGAAGCATGGCTTTGCAGGCTAACTTTGGCCACTTTTAAAGGTGACATCCTATGTGAATATTTGAAAGTATGGCTTTGGTTACCCAGTTATTTTTGTATTGCCTTCATGGTAGCTTGTGTTTATGCATTCAAATCTGCAGTATGCTTTTCAGTTTCTCTTTTTTACCTATTGAACATTACACCTGAAATGCTAGTCCCACAATTCTGGGTAAATGTATGTTGATGCTGGGTACCTGCAAATTGGCACACTCAAGAATTTTATATGGCTTTGATAGGGTTGTGTCTAGCCATGTATGTTAATACATATAATGTATGTCAAGCAAAAACAGCGAATGCAACATGCAGTACTTTTTTTCCTTGGTTTAGTCCCTTTTAAAGTCCCTGCAAGTACACAGAATACCTGTTTATCTGCCAGAAAAACTCACTTGCCTCTTTAAGCCCTGTTATGAACTGACAATACACAGCAATGAGTGGTGCCAGCCCTGCCCATTGTTCTTTGCTAAATGACCACCACCTCCACTCTGTTCAACATAAAGGCTAATTTTTCTGTAGTCCAAGTTAACTAGGTGGGGTTGTTAAGACAACACAGAAAGTAGACAGATGACATAGGCTCTAAATTTCTTTAAAGATCAACTGGGGTTTTTTTGGGGGGTTTTCGCACTCATCAAACAGATATGACAATTTATTGATCAGATTGAAAGGGACTGAATAAGATAACTTTATTATTAGGGTTTACATACACTTTAACGGTTTCCCACCATTGCAGCCAGTGGACCACACTGGCAACTCCATCAACAGCATTGCTTTGCCAGAATCTCTGAAATAATTATTATTCAGGATTATTATTACACAGGCTTTATATAATGTCAAGTGACACAAAAGGTAATAACTGTGGGGGAAGAGCTGATGGAGCAAATAACAGTACATTTGTTAGCTGAAGGCAGGGTAGGCTTCTCTATACCGTGTTCCAAATTATTATGCAAATTCTATTTAAGTGTCACAAAGATGAAATATTTTTTTTTTCAGTTTAACTCATGGATGGCATTGTGTGTCAGGGCTCTTTTGATCACTGAAAAAAATCTCGGTCACCTGTGATAATTAGATTGGCCGGTGAGCCCAATTTAAGGAAAAACTACTAAAGGAGGGTGTTCCACATTATTAAGCAGAGCACCATTTTCAAGCAATATGGGGAAGAAAAAGGATCTCTCTGCTGCCGAAAAGAGTGAAATAGTTCAATGCCTTGGACGAGGCATGAAAACATTAGATATTTCACGAAAACTTAAGCGTGATCATCGCACTATTAAGAGATTTTCGGCTGATTCAGAGCACAGATGGGTTCGTGCAGATAAAGGCACATTGAGGAAGATTTCTGTCAGATCCATGCATCGGATCAAGAGAGCAGCTGCTAAAATACCATTACATAGCAGCAAACAGATATTTGAAGCTGCTGGTGCCTCTGGAGTCCCACGGACATCAAGATGTAGAGTCCTCCAGAGTCTTGCAACTGTGCATAAACCTTCTATTCGGCCACCAATAACCAATGCTCAAAAGCAGAAACGGCTGCATTGGGCAGAAAAATACATGAAGACTAATTTTCAAACAGTCCTGTTCACTGATGAGTGCCGTGCAACCCTGGATGGTCCAGATGGATGGAGTAGTGGATGGTTGGTGGACGGCCACCCTGTTCCAACAAGGCTGCGACGTCAGCAAGGCGGTGGTGGAGTCATGTTGTGGGCCGGAATCATGGGAACAGAGCTGGTAAGCCCCTTTAGGGGCCCCAAAGGTGTAAAGATGACCTCTGCAAAGTATGTGGAGTTTATGGGGAAAGAACAAAGAGAGGGCGCACAGGCCTAGTGCATTACCATAAAAAATGTTTAATAAAAAATAAAGTAGGTGTTGTACTCACAAACGACAATATAGTCAAGGCACATCATAAAAGAACAGCTGGGCCAACACCGCGCTGAGTAACAGTCCGCAATAGGGAGTTTAGACATCCAAAAGGCTGACGCGTTTCGAGGACTTGCCTCTTCCTCAGAGCCACAGTGGCCTTGACTATATTGTCGTTTGTGAGTACAACACCTACTTTATTTTTTATTAAACATTTTTTATGGTAATGCACTGGGCCTGTGCGCCCTCTCTTTGTTCTTTCCCCATTCAGTACATTTGGATTCCCCCGGTCCATTTGAGGGCAGCAAGGTGTGCATGTTCCAGGACATTCTTAATGTGGTTGTAGCCTGCATCGAGTCCATCCCCAAGCGCAGGAGCATTTGTGTTTGCTGGTTCTATGTGGAGTTTATGACTGACCACTTTCTTCCCTGGTACAGAAGGAAGAACTATGCTTTCCGTAATAAAATCATCTTCATGCATGACAATGCACCATCTCATGCTGCAAATAATACCTCTGCATCAATGGCTGCTATGGGGATAAAAGGAGAGAAAGTCATGGTGTGGCCTCCATCCTCCCCTGACCTCAATCCTATTGAGAACCTTTGGAGCATACTCAAGCAAAAGATCTATGAGAGTGGGAGGCAGTTTACATTCAAACAGCAGCTCTGGGAGGCTATTCTGACATCTTGCAAATAAATTCAAGCAGAAACTGTCCAAAAACTCACAAGTTCAATGAATGCAAGACTTGTGAAGCTGCTATCAAATAAGGGGTCCTATGTTAAAATGTAACGTGACCTGTTAAAATGTTTAAAAAGTTAAAATATTAAAATTTTGATTGAAATAGCTTTTGATTTCAGTAAATATGCTGCAAACACAACAAATGACAATTTTCAGTTCTTTACAACCTATAAAGTGTTTTGAAACTTACTGTGCGTAATAATTTGGAACAGTGCATTGTAAGTTTTTTATGTTTAACAAAAATACTGTTATCATTAGGAGGTTTGTTCAATGAAATGTGAATTGTACTCTTAATAGTTGATAACATGAGAATTATGCTGACTGTTATTTACATCAATTATTTAGGTAAATGAGAAAAAATATCATTTGCATAATAATTTGGAACACGGTGTAAAGAGAAGGGTTTCAGGGATTGTCTAAAAGTGGACAGAGTTAGAGATGTTCAAGACATATTGGAGCAGGGAGTTCCAGAGCATGGGAGGGGCTCAGGAGAAGTCCTGGAGCAACCATGGGAGGAGGTGTGGAACATGTAACATGTTCCCAAAGGTGAACTTATCCTTTAAGTGGGGAGATAATAACACATGGAACCTGTGGGTCCAATATTTCTCTGTGCCTCTCTGTATGACTTAATTTGTGTCCACCAAAGAGTTTTAGGCTGCATGTATGCTGGAACTGTTTTCTACTGGCAGCAGAAAAATGCTAAATGGTGCAAAAACCCGTGTGAACGTACTGAGTTTACCAGCGTTTAGAGTTGGAACTTTTATTATTTTCATTGAAATGAATAAATGCCCTAGCGCTATGTAAACGCAGTTAGCGCTTAGGTGCATTTATACATGTTTTTGCCGCATTTAGCGGTTTTTTTTGGCTAAAACGTTCCTCTCCTAAACATGATTCTTCTGGGTTCAGAAGAGGGACATTTAACTTACCTTAAACTCTGATAAATGTCTGTGTGCATGGACGCATAGGTTTTTATTGAGTTGAGTTCAGGGGCTTTGGCAAAAAAACACCAAAAGCTCTTGAACTCACGTTTATGACGTTTATGAGCAGCAGTGTGCATGAGGCCTTAATAGTGTAGTATTGTTTAACCTCACTTGCTGCTCCAAGGCAAATGCAATTCATGCTGCAAGTTTAGCACAGAAAGAGGTGGCATGTGCATACATTTATGTTGTTGTTTTCTCTCAGAATGAATGCATGTGCATGTAGAAGTGTTTTTTTTTTTTTGTTTTTTTCCATTGGATAGACAGCATTGCCATGCTGAAAAAGATTGATGCAAAGGAAAGCATCAGCTGAAAGATTTGATGTCTGCTGCTAGGTTAACCCCCACAGAGGGTTTAATTCATTTTATAATGATAGTTTATGCTGAAAGAGTCAGAGATATGCAATCCAAAACATTTCACAAGTACCCACTAACATTCCTGGTTTAGGGCCAACAATAATGACTAGACACTTACATTCTGTTTTTAAGTTGACAGCCTTTTAGAATGCATCAGCCTTCATTTACTCTTTCATTTTATACTGTGTTTTGGCTGGTTGTTAAATAAGTACTTTTTTGTTTTTTTTTAAAGGGCCTAGTATTTGCCTGGAAGAAGCTAAGTGGGTCTGGGGTGGGGAGCATACAAATAATTCTACTGAGAATGGCCATACTTCAAGAACATGAAAGGCAGCATCTACCAAGCCTAAAGCCAATATGATCCCCTGCAGTATACTTTGTAACTCAACAGTGGCTTGGGGGGAGGGCATACATGGTTCTGTACTTCCTTTTCTTTTTTTCTTTTTTCTTTTCTCTATAGAAAAGGGAAGGATTGGTGCCCTTTTTCAGAGATTTTCACGATCTGCTTGAAAACACTCACTCAGCCATTTATTTTTGCTCTTTCGAAAAGTCATACATATCCGTGTCTTATTTGACTTTTACATGATTGTTGAGCATTTTTGCTTCATTTTTCTTTCACCCTTAGTACATCAACCCTTCAAAGCACACAAAAAATCTAGCTGCACTCTAGATTAAGATTGTCAAAGGGGCATTTGCAGATGCCAAATCTGTGTGACGAACGGGTTGACTGAGAAGGGGAGCTAAGAGGGTATATATAGTTTTCATTGTTTGTGTGTATGTGAAAGGAGTTGTCAGGAACACTAGCAAACACCAGTGGAAATAACTTATGACATCCATAAACCGTTTTATCTTTAATGATCAATAATAGACATATTCTTTTCATTTTATTTAGACGATGACAGTGATATTGACTTTAACTTCAGGTTTACTGGTCCTCCATAGGTTATATCTGGTAATAAACAATGGTAAGCTTCTAGTTGTTATTTCTGCAGCCTGTGTTCAAAATTAAATTCATAATTCTGTTACTGTATGTGGGCTCTCCATGTGTCAAGTCAAGCATATGGTTGAATATATAAAAATCTAAAGCTGCTGCTTCCTGTTACAAGGAAAGGGTTTCAAAAAAAGATAATTTTTCTTAACTTTTTCAGCTGCTCCAGATTTTGAAGCAATATCCCAAATTTTCATTAGAATAGATATAATTCTTTTAAGGGCCTGTTAATATAGGCAGTGTTGGAGTTGAAGTTTGACTGCCCCCACCATTAAGCTGCAATAATAGATGTATAAAGTTGTACACATGCTGTATCTGTGGCAAAAATTATCCCATATTGCGCTTGGCTGGCTGTACGGACATCAGACATGACTCATTCAAGTGAATGGGGCCATGTCACAACTACGAGCCAAACACTAGACACCCAGTTGCTGCACAATATTCCCATTCACATTCCTGTTTGACTGCACAAAAAGAAAAAAGACATATTCAGAAAGTGGCAGTATCCTCTCCTGAATGACTAGAGCCACTCCTATACTGCTCTCTGAAATTAGATTTACAGCAGATTACTTTTAGGGTTTTATTTAAAGGAACATTTTACTAGTTTGCTTTTTGAAGCCATTATATTTCATATACTCCATCTATATGGTAGACTAGGCAACCATAAATATGTAATTCTGTTCAGGTATTCTGGGATAATCATACCTTGCTTTACAATCTCCAATTACAACTATGCAGCCTCCTATGCCACCGTCCTGCTCATTGGAGTGTGAAAAGTATCCTCTCAGACAAGGTTTTGTTTTTTCATGGGGGGGGGGGGGGGGGGGGGGGTGGTTTTGACTCAGTACATCGCAATACCTTTAAGTGTATGTGAATTTTTAGGAGATATTCATTTTACCTACAGGCAAATTTTATTATAAGCTTACCTGTAGGAAAACAATCAAGATTGAGAAATGACTTCCACTTTAAAGAGTTATGGAAAACTTCCAAAGAGATACAATCAGAATGCCAAAGTCAAGGTACAGCATTGTCTGATCGCATTATTCGTCACTTTTAGTGACAGTGGGTTCAAAGAAAGAAGACACACTATGACTCTGCCGTCGAATGAAAGACATAAAAAAGCCAATTTTGCTAAAATGCATATTGACAAGGCACAGACCTTCTGGGAGAATATTCTTTGGACTGATGAGACAAAACTTGAGCTTTTTGAAAAGTTACATCTGCTCTGTGTTCACAGACCAAAAAAAATAAGCAATCAAAGAATAGATTACCTACTGTAAAACATAGAGTAGGCATGGTTATGTTTTTTGGACTGCTTCGCTGTGTATGGTATGGGATGCCTTAAATCTCTATAGGACACAATGAAATCTCAAGACTACCAAGGAATTCTGGAGCGAAATATACTGTGTAGTGTTAGAAAGCTCTGTCTCAGTCACATGCCATGGGTCCTCTCAACATGATAATGACCTATAACAAAACCTTGGACTAATTTTAAGTGACCTTCTATGTGCCTGATCTGAATCTTATTGAACATCTATGGAAAGAGCTGAAACATGTAGTGTGGAGAAGGCACCCTTCAAACCTGAGACCACTAGAGCAGTATCTGTTAAATCAAAAATCAAAACCAAAGATACAAGTTACTTAGATCTATTGCATGTGTTTGGGGAAAATTGTGTCATTTCCTTGATCTGCCATCCTTCTAGGCTTGGCTCACCTCTGATGGCTCCTGTTAGTTGCGGAGACCAGGCTGCGGCCCTCAGGGTGGACAGGCATCCTCCCAGCACTACATCGCTTCCCTCTCATACACATTGAGCCCTGATCATCCTACTCACATAGGGTTATCCCTGCAACTAGAGCACACACCCACCTACTGATTGGCTCCAGCTGTGTAGAAGAAGGCGAGGCCAGCACTGGGCATGCCCCATTCAGTCACTAGCTGGCTCCTTGTTACAGCTGAAGGATTGTGCACATCGGGGAGGTGTACAGACTGATCCTCAGACCAGAGAGTGCTAAGGAGGACTGACTGCTGACCACCCGGGGTCCTGGACCTAATATCCCTTCCCATCATAGGGGGAGCCAACATTTTACTGCTACATGGAATACTGTTGTTTGATACAGATAGATATAGTGCTTAAAATAAATGAGTACACCCCTTTTGAAAAGTAAGATTTTAATCAATATCTCAATGGACATGAGCAATTTCCAAAATTTTGACAAAACTGAGTTCCATAGAACATTTGTTTAGCTCATTACACGAAAATAAGGTTAATAATATAGCTTAGATTACAAAATCTTCAGTTTTATTCAAATTAGTTGATGTAAAAATGAATACACCCCACAACAAAAACTACTCCATCTAGTATATTGTATTCCATGATTTGTAAGTACAGCACAAAGTCTTTTTAGGCATGGTATGAACAGGTTGGCGATATATTGCAACATCTATCTTTTTCCATTCTTCGAGATCAACCTCTTTTAGAGCCTGGATGCTGAATGGAGAATGATGCTCAACTTGTCTCTTCAGAATTCCCCATAGGTGTTTCGATTGGGTTCAGAGCAGGGGACATACTTGGCCACTGAATCACTTTCACCCTGTTCTTCTTCAGATGCAACAGTGGCCTTAGATGTGTAGTTTGGATCATTGTTCATTGGAAAAGTGCAAGACGACCAAGGACATGGAGTGACGGTAGCATCTTCTCTTTCAATCTAGAGCGGTACATCTGTGAATTCATG